AAAGGGAAGGGAATGTCGACAGGGTAGAAATTCAGAGTGCAAGGAGGATTCCAGATCAGAAACAGGAAACTTACACGCATCCAGAGAGAGGTCGCTGTGACAGCTGCACAGGCCAGCACCTGGCTCAAGATTGTTAACTCCCTTCTTGCGCCCTGCTTCCTTAGACTGGAAGAGAAGGGGCACGTCGCCACCGATCTTCACCCGGGAGGGCAGTCTTGGGGGCGGGTCCCAAGTTCATGGGCTTGCTAATTCTTTCCTAGGGTCCCTTCTGTTTTCTGTCAGCAGTAGGAAAAGACATTCTAGCAAATGACATCCAGTAATGCTTTAATTAACTGCAGTATTTTGCACTCCAATATGCACCAATGAATCATTTCCAGATGGGCAAAATATTTACACAAAAAACAATCCCTTTATTTTAAAGAAATTGAGATTTCCCCAAGGTATAGGACTCTGAGGGTCCAAGAAGCTATTTTGATGGATACGAGGATGGAGTGGGAATTTGTATTTAGCATATAAAATACAGGGTTATTCTTTACATCTGCCAGCTTTTCGTGAGTCCACATTTCCAAGGCTAATGCTTAAATGGTCCGATGCCGTCGGTTTTAATTTTTTTAGGAATCTGACTTGGAGGAGACAAGAAGTGTGGAACACTTGCCTTCATCCTCATGCAAGCTGGTTATTTTGGGACTTTCTTCCTTAGGAGAGGAATTACATATCCAGCTGTGCACTTCTGGCATGTCCCTTAGCATTCTGTAAGCAGGGAAAGACACTTCCTTATACAACCAGAATGCAGGACGGACCCATGTAACAACTCCTGCACCAGCCAGCGGCCTCCAACCTGCTCTCACCCCGCGTGCCCGTCACTGTTACGCTGTTCTCAGCTTCTCCGCTTTTATCCCTGTTTGACATGTATGGAGGAGCCATTTTAGCTGTGAGAAAGCACATACCTTATCTGGGTGCTGGGCAGGGTCTTGGGTACTAGTTCTTCTAGTTCTTTATTTTGCCAGGGAGGAGTAGTGAAGCTTCAATTTTAGAACTAAATTAGGAGATCGAAACAACCTGTCCCTAGCCTGGTGTGGTGGTGCACGCCTGCAATCCCAGTACTTGGGAGGCTGAGGCAGGAGGATCGTTGTGAGTTCGAGACCAGCCTGAGCTCCAAAGTGAACTCAAAGCCAGCTTGAACTGCATAGTGAGACCCTGTCTCAAAAAAGACAAAAAAACCCAACCTGTCTCTTGTGGATGTGGTGCAAAGAGAATTTTGTACAGCCTAATACCCTGAAGTCAGTGTCCTGGAAGTCTCTCCATGATAAGTAGCAGCAAATTCTTTTTTTTTTTTAATCTTTTTGAGACAGGGTCTCGCTGTGCAGTTCAGGCTGGTCTTGAGCTCACTTTGTAGCCCAGGCTGGTCTCCAATTCACAATGATCCTCCTGCCTCAGCCTCCCAAGTGCTGGGATTATAGGCGTGCACCACCATGCTCGGCAGTAGCAGCAAATTCTTTATTGATGTTACCAATATTTATTTTAATGATAAAGTGAATTCAAAGCTTTTTTTAAAGGTTAGAGAATGTGTTGGAGAGGGATGGGCATAGTATCTAATTTTAGCCAAATCACTGAGCTTGTCAGTTATTGCTTTTATCAATGTATGGGCCTTTGTATATGTTCTTTGGTTTGGCTTTTTTTTTTTTTTTTTTTTTTTTTTTTGAGACAGGGTCTCGCTATGCAGTTCAGGCTGGCCTTGAGCTCACTTTGTAGCCCAGGCTGGCCTAGAACTCACAACGATCCTCCTGCCTCAGCCTCCCAAGTGCTGTGATTACAGGTGTGTGCCACTACGCCCGGCTTGTATATGTTCTTTTGAAGTGACAATTATAACTAAAGCTATCTGGGGTGTGGTCATCAAAATAACCCTAATCAGTGAGGAGAGCCCAGTTCCTAGTGTGGTTCCAATCACTAACACAAGTTTAAAACTAAAACTGCTAACTATCAGCAAAGACCACTGTATAGTAGCTAAACTTCCTTCAAGAACCAGAAAAATACACACTTAGGAAGATGGGCTACAAGATTCCGTCAATAAAGCAAATGTCTCTCTACTGCAATTATTTTTAGCAAGGAGTAAACACTATACAGTCAGCCATCTGTATCTGTGGGTCCTATATCTGTGGATTCCATCATAAGCAGGTCAAAAATATTTGAAAAAACCTGTTTATGTTGAATATTTACAGACATTTTTGTCATTATCTCGTAAATACAGTATAACTGTGTAGCATTTACGTGGTACTAGGTAGTATAAGTAGTCTAAAGATGACTTCAAGTATAGAGGAGATGTGCTTAGAACATGTGAGAGTACTATTTCATTTTCTATAAGCAACATGAAGATCTCATAGTTTGGTATCCTTGGGAAATTGTGCAGCCAATGCTCTTGGACATTGACAGACAACTGTAATCACCTACAGAGCTTTTTAAACTTACATGCGATAGTCAGGCGTGGCAGTATACACCTGTAATCCCAGTACCCGGGAGGCTGAGGCGGGAGGATCACTGCAAGTTCGAGGCCACCCTTGGCTACATAGAAAGTTCAAACCAGCCTGGACTACATAGCAGGACCCTGTCTCAGAAACAAAACAAAACAAAACAAACCTGAACAAAATAAAAAACCTACAAGCCAGGACCCACTGCAGATTTACTAACTCAAAAATCTCCTGGCACCTGCATTACAAAAAAAAAAAGAACCCCAGGTGATTTTGATGTATTTCCCCAGGTGAGAAACATGCACTGTCTCTACAGAACGCGCACACAGTATTCAGCCCCCATCAGTGAGACATTTAACATAACTCCTGCTGACATGTGTTGGCTCCTTGGGGATTACTGGCAATGTAATAAATCAGGAAAGCAACTTCCCTGGCTGTGACCACCCACTGGGAAAAAGAGCAGCTTGACACCTCAGTGCCATGATGGAGACATCTAGAAAACAACTCCTCATGAGTGGACCAAAAAGAGCAGTGTAGATCTGTAAACACCAAGAGTGACAAGAACCAGGTGCAGGAGTCACTGGCTTTCCCAGCTCCCCAAGGTTGATGACAGATGGCTGAACTGGCTGTGCTGTTTGGAGACGGGCCCAGCACCCCTTCCTTTCAATTAGTGCAGGCCCTGTAAGCACAGCAGAGCAACGCCAAGCAGAGGATTCCTCTCTTTAGTGTCCAGGGTGTGTTCCAACCACCTCCCCGCCCTTCCTGCACTTGCCTAATTCAGAATCTCTTCCTGATAGAGCTCAACTAAAGGACACACCTCTTTCTTTCACCACTTTTTTCTTCTGTGTTCTCAAATTTGAAATGCTGAACATGTAAGAGCCGTAATGATTACCAAGAATGTGCTGAAAGCCGACGAAGTGAGGATCCGAGGCTGTGGGTGTAGTTTAGTGGTAGAGTGTTTGCCTGGCATTGTCCAGGCCAACACACACACACACACACACACGCACACGCACATACCCACCAAGGATCAAAGCTGGGACTGATGGACAAAGTCACAAATAAAGGTCAATGGAAAAGGTAAGGGAACAGCGCATAGCAGTTACCCTGGGAAAACAGATGGGGACAAATAATCGATGTTCCTGGTATGCTTTTCGATCCTTTGAGGTGTCCTACTGTATGACTGTCACAGGTTTTACGGATTTTCAGAAAACTTCCTGTCCTGAAAACTCACTTCTGAGTGTTATGTGATATATTTTTCTTTTTTGGCGGGTGGTGCTGGGGATGGAAACCAGGACTGAAGAATGCTAAGCAAGTGCTCTGCTGCTGAGCTACATACGCCCCCAGCCCTTGATATCTCAATTTTATCCCGAGACCTGTTCCGTGCATTCTCTGTGGAGAGCTCCACCTTCCTCCTTGGCTCCCTGCTGTCCAACAAATATAACACCTGGATAAAAGCTGTCACTCACAGTGGTCACTCCGAGGGTTTCAGTGGACCAGTGACCTGGGGGGACTCCCTGAAATGCTGCCTGCTCCCTGCATGCAGGTGCTGTAAGAGGACTGGAAGCAGCTGTGCCGGGCAGTTTCCGCAGAGCTCTGCTGCCAAGAGCTGGTGGTGGTCGGGGCGGGCAGGCGGGGTCCGGCTGCGCTCTAGGTGGTGCCAAGTTCTAAGTCTGGCGTGTAACAACATTCTGCTCTTAGTATCCAAGGACTGGGTTCTTTCTAGTCCGCAGCACAGTAATGGGCCACTGTGGCACTGCACATTACTTTCTGTTGTTTCAGGTGGCTGGAAAGTGCTCTGGACTCGGAAATGAATGAACAGGATGAAGGTCAGCTGGTACAGGCCTCCTACTCCCTCCCACAGCTTCATCTGCAGAGAAAGCCTAGGAAAGCTTTTCTGAGAGACTGTCTGGTTTCCCTCCACAGAAGGCAGTCTCTTCCCTAGAACTCTGGGGCAGAGTGGGAATAGGCAAATGGAGAAAACGATTTGCTCGCTTATCCTGGTGCCTGTACCAAGCACAACTTATCTTTAAGTCAGATCCGGGTTGGCTTTCATATAGGCCAGGAGCCCGCGGCAGACAGGATACTTGCAGCCAACCCCTGGTGGATGCTGCCCTCCCTGGTAAGGACAGAGGGCATATATCCTCTGGAGAACACCGAGAAATGGAGAACATGGGGAAACCTGGCCATGACATAAAAGGTCCCAGGAACATGGGATGTCCCAGACAACTGAGATTTACATGGGAAGTGCACATGCTTCCACCGCCTTCATAAAGACAGGCTGGTATCCTGTCCTGCAATCTCCCCTTCATCACTCAGGCCTGACAGTCAATCTCAGAGACAGGGAGGAAAACCCCAAACGGTCGGAGGGGAGGACGGGCAAGGTCCACGCTTCCTCTCCCAAGCCGCCTCACAGTGTGCGGGACGGGTGGGTGTGACTGCTGAAGGGCTACATAAGTTCATGCGAACTCCACCATGCTGGAAACCCAGACTGAACCACCGAGCCCTCTCACCTGAGGCTGCCTCTGCTTCAGGAAGTGAAGAGAATGGAAATTGCCTTTTTATAACCAGCTTCTCCGACTGGCACAGGATTAAGACAGGGTATGGGAGGGATATATTAACAACTCCATATTAACAACTTCAATGTCCCAGGAAGTCTCAAGACTGAGGATCTGAGTCAGGGGTTAAAGGGGGGCAGTCGAGCACTTCCAGCAACTGGGTGGTGAGGGGTGCAGGGCGCGGGTGCTCCTCTTGCTCCTACAGTCTCTTCTTAATTAGTTTCTCAAGTTTGCGGATGCGAGATGACTCCTGTTCTGGGGTGGGCGCCATCAGGCACAGGGAGCTGGAGCCTTCGGCCCCTGAGGGGGGCGTGGGGACCCTCTGGCGCAGGAGCTCCAGCATGCTGCTCTGCTCACTCCTCTTCAGTCCCTGGGGAGAGAAAAAGGAGCGGGCTCAGCAGGTGGCCCGCACTGGAGCACTGGAGTCACGCTAAGGACAAAAGCTTTCTTCAGAGGAATTGCCAGCCCTGGGAAGTAACCTGGAGAAAAGCAGAGGGAAAAAAACCAAAGTACTGGAGTAGCAGCCAAGGAAGAGGTGGGAGAGAAGGACAGGTAGATGGAGAGAAGGAAAATCCTCCTGCTCTTCCCTCTTCCCCTTCTGCTGTCCTCTGCTGAGCAGTGGCCCTCCGCTGGCCAGGGAAGTCTCAGAATCCTGCAGCCACCTGCCCAGGATCAGCCTCCTGGAAAGGACTCATGGAATCCAGATGCAGGGTGGGGCCAGTGACATGCATTTTAGGGCAGCCCCCAGGAGCCTGAATCTCACCCCTCAGTGTCAGAAGCAGGAATAGGGGTGGACAAAGCAAGACCCTGGGCTCACCTTCATGTCCAGTATCTTCTGGAAGGTCTCTGCATTGCAGTCTGTAAGGAGCTTGATGTAGTTGTCCACAAACACCACCAAGGGCTCATGAGGGGCCATCACCACCTACAGCTCGAAGGGACAAGAGCAAACCTTCAGAGAGAACTCTCAGTTGGAGCGCATTTGGTAGCTGGCCACCAAGGGGACCTACAAAATTACCTTAAGCAGCAATTACCCCCAACTCAGAAATGCCTGATGCCTATTTAACCTTCACAATCAACTGGAGCATTGTTTCTAACAGTCAGCAGATCACCTGAGTTGCTCGTTAATGAATAGAATTCTAGGTCCCACCTCTGAGGATGTAATTCAGTGGGCCTGGCTGGGGGAGTTTTAATCATGGGGACCTTTTGGGAACACTACGTTAGAGGTCTCCTGTGGGAGGCATTTCATGGGTACAGGGTACCTATGTCTTCTATTTCTGAGAAACAGGCAGCAAAAGGAACTGATCTAAGTGGATTTTCTAAAAAAACAACAAGGATTCAAAGCTGCCTCACTCTCACACTCTCTCTCTCTTTCTAATACTGAGGATTGAGCCCAGGGTTTCACATAATAGGCAAGCACTCTACCACTGAGCTACACTCCCAGCCCAGCTGCCTCATTTTTTTGAAAGACCTACAATCTGGAACTCCATTTAACCTCATTCATTTGAACTATCAATTAATACACAAGCGGATGGCAGCACAATCCTGAATTCATTTCCATTTGGTTTTAGAAAGTGGCATTCGAGGCCGGAGGATCGTTGTGAGTTCGAGGCCAGCCTGGGCTACAAAGTGAGCTCAAGGCCAGCCTGAACTTGCATAGTGAGACCCTGCCTCAAAAAGACAAAAAAACACACACACACACAAAAAAAAGAAAAGAAAGTGGCATTCGACTTTCTTCCTCAGCTGACTGATCTTGTTTTGAGTTCCCGAGAATGTACCAATGGGTGGCAAGGAGCAGTGCCCTCAGAAATCCTCTGCAGGTATTTCCCAAACTGTTTGCTCTCCTCCCTGGAAATAAGCCAGCTGGGAAAGGAAGCCATGAGGCAGCTTCCAGTTTGCCCAGACCAGATCTTTGCAGGACCCTTGTAGGTCCCACGTGTCTGCAGACCACTGCCACTTTTCACTCCTGCCACCACTGAGCCAGTCTGTGTGGGAAATGAGCCTAAGGAGCCTGCAGGCCCAGGACTCTCAGACCTTATGAGGACAGCGCTGTTTCTTCTCTAGCCTCCTCCCCTTTCTCCACAAGTACAGGTGGAAATCAAAGGCAGGTGCGCCAGGCTGCAGACATGCTTGACACCACCACCCAAAGTACAATCTTTTGTTAAACGAGGCTCTAAAAATCCATCTGCTGATTAGATTCACTTACTACAACATCTGTTCAGAGTTCGTTTGAAGGTGCAAAGTAGAGAAAGCCAAAAAGGCTTATGTGGAAGGGAGGAACTGACAGCTGGGCCCGAAATTCCCGCTGAGAAGCAAAAGGAACCCTGACTGACACACTGATTCACAACAACGGCACTTCACTCCCAAGCTTGGCTAAATCTGATTACGAGGGAATCTCGTGACAACAGAGAATTCATTTGTCAGAAAGAATTACTGATCCCTAAGTAACTACTTGCTGACTTGCAATAATATTTGATGAGGCCACAATTTAGTCCCGCCTAGGAATGCGGACAATCCTTTGGGAATGGTGGGGATACATCCTCCTTGCCTTCAGACCCAAACTTCCTGGAATAAGGGGTCAAATAAATAACGAGCCTTCTTTAACAGAATCCCCAAGGAAGACACAACCATCACCTTGAGGATCATCTCAGCCCGGGTCATGCCTTTCACAACGATCTTAGTGTAGCTGGCAGGGGCCTTCCTCACCACCTGGGAGCCAATGGAAGGAAGGTCAAGCAGGACCATCTTCAGGGAGTGGGTATCCAGCAGCAGCTGTGGGTCAAAGCAGAGTGTTACTTAGCCACTTCACAGGAACATAACACTTTGTAAAGCCATGCTGATTCTTCATGTTTTTATGATTATACCTATAACACATTCATACTGCAGAAAACCTGGAAAAGAAACAGACCTATAAAAAGAAAAAAAAATTAACAAGATGTGGTGGCACATCCCTGTAACCTCAGGGCCCTGGGAAGCTGAAGCAGGAGAATCATAAGCTCAAGCCCAGCCTGGGCAATTTAGCAAGACTCTTTCTCAAGATAAAAAATGGGCTGGGGATATAGTTCAGTGAAAAGGCCTTGGGTCCAATTCCTAGCAACACACACACACACACACACACACACACGAAAAAACTGTACCACAATTAAATGTGGTACCACAAGCAAATGTAAAATTCCTGCTGGTCTGTGTATGTATGTGTATTTAAAAAAGGAAACCAGAATCATATTTTCTATGTGTATATATAGTTAAAAAGCTGTTTTCTTTTCACTTAATACATAAAATTTTTGCATTCTATTTTCCAATCATGGCAGTATTGTATTAAAAAATCATAATTTTTATACTCTGTGGCATATGAATATGTGTAAGTTTAAAGTATTAAACTATTTATTTATTTATTGCCTTTTTGAGACAAGGTTTCACTATGCAGTTTGGGCTGGCCTTGAGCTCACTTTGTAGCCCAGGTGGGCCTTGAACTCACAGCAATCCTCCTGCCTCAGCCTCCCCAGTGTTGGGATTACAGGTATGCACAACCACGTCTGGTTGCACAATTCTGTTTTAATTTGCTCCTAGATATTTATTATTAATAACAAATATTGAGGTAGACAGCCTTGTATTTTAGGTGCACAATGGCATTTCCATATGAGATAGTGTTTTGTTTTGTATTGTTTGAGATAGGGGTCTAAGTTGCCTAGGTTGGCCTTGAATTCACAATCTTCCTGCTTCAGGAAGAGTAGCTGAGATTACAGGGGAGAGTATGGGACAGGCCAAAGTATGAGAATATTTTAAGGTTTCCAATATAAACTGGAACCTCTTTCCAAATGGATTGTACCTATTTACACACCTGCCAGCACCATACACCACACCCTCACTGGTATTGAAACCTGCCATAAACACCTTTTATTTATTAGGTAAAAATGGTTGCTATAGTACTTTGGGTTTCTCTGTATGCTAGTGAGGAGGGAGGAGATCTAACCAAACTCAAATGTATCCTGGCAACAGCCCATCATTTCCTGTTGTTTGTTGGTCCTAGTTTTCTTGGATGCTAACTCTCTGGAAGGGTATCAGTTTCCCTGGCTGACCACCAACTGTCAGGAATAATGCTAGGAATGTTACATCACATTTAGTCTTCATGAGGACCTGCCCTTAAGAAAAAAGTCAAAGTGTTGGGGGGATGAAGCTAAGTGGTAGAGCACTTGGTTAGTGTGACCAGGCCCTTGACTGAATCCCCAGCACCACAAAGCAAGCAAGCAAGCAAGCAAGCCGGCCAGCCCACTCTGAAATGCACAGTATACCTTAATTCAGTCATTTTGGGGAACTTTTTTCTTAACTGTAGGTGCAAATAGCCCATAACACAGCATTTTAATTTATATCCTTTAGAGAAATTCTTGCTTATGCAGAAAAATGTTCCCTGTATCCACTCTTTGCCAAAGCAACAGACTGGATTTTTTTCTGTAGGGGGTACAGGGAATTGAACTCATGACCTCATGCTTGCCAGGCAGGTGCTATGGCACTGAGCTATATCTCTAGCCCAGCAATAGACTGGAAACAACATAAGTGTCTATAAAAAGTAGAGTGAATAAACAAATTGTGGCATATTTATCCAATGGAATATGGTCCTGAGGTTAAAATGAGTGAACACAAATAACTTATTTCAACATGTGTAAATCTCAAAAAACATTCAGTTGGGCAAAAAAAGAAAGACGGGAAATGGTGTGTATAGTACAATTTATATAAAGCTTAGCAATAAGCAAAACAAAACTACATATCACTCACGAATATATACACATATACCAAAACACATATGGGAATGTAAAAATCAAAATCAGTATAGTGTTCATTTCTAAGCACAGAGGGAGGATAATGGCAGGGTGGGAAAAACAGGGGGCTTCAACAAATAACGAGTGATTTATTTTACATAAAAAACCATCTAAGCAAGTGTGGGAATATATCAGATTTTACTGAGCTGAGCGGTGAGCTGATGTTTTTACATTATTTTCTACTTTTATTACCTAGAAATGTTTTTTTTTTTTTTTCCAGTACCGGGAATCGAACTCATGACCTTGCACTTGCCAGGGAGGTGCTGTGCTGCTGAGCTAAATCCCCAGCCCCTATTACCTAGAAACCTTTCTCCTTCCTTCCTTCCTTCCTTCCTTCCTTCCTTCCTTCCTTCCTTCCTTCCTTCCTTCCTTCTCTCCCTCCCTCCTTCCCTCCCCTCTCCCCCCTCTTTCTTTTTTTCTTTCTTTCTGACTTTTGAGGCCAGGCAAGTATTCAACTTTGTCTTCCATGTAGCAAATTTTAAGACCCCATCAAATCAAAGCCATGTTGTTGGTAGGGGAAAAGAGAGTCAAAGATTATATTTTAAAACATATGGGGATACTTTTTTAGTTTTTCTACATTTTTTTACTTCCCAGAGACACATTATATGCATGAATAATCCTACAGTTTTACATGACAGGAAGAGTTTTTAATGAACCAGACATAATTCTCCAACGTCTTCCATATCTTAAGGAGATATGACGCTTTTCATTCCCTGGCCAGTCACAATAAAAAGCTGCCTGTACTAGACAGCTGAAGAGATGAAAACCTTGGTTTGAGCTTTTGCATGAGGCAATGCAGTCTAAAAAGATGGGAACTAGTGTGACAGATTTAGCAGCTGTCTTTGGGAACTGAAGATAAAAAGTCCCATTTATAGTGAAAATCTGCTAGTTTTCATCTCTGAAAGTAGGTAATAGTTCAGCTCCCTAAGCTTGGGGCCCTGGAGAAGAGGTGGCCAGTTGCCAAGTGCACTTGCACCTCAGAGAAAATCTTTGGGATGGAGTTGTGGGCTGAGCCTCTCATGGGCTGAAAGGTAGGAAAAGCTGTGTGAAAGCTGTGTGCGGAAAGCGCACTGGAAAACTTAGAAGGAGACGCTTACTTCTTAAAGAGCCCCCTGCAATTCTTGGGGGACACCATGGCTACCAGGAGGAATGAATCTCTTGAGTAGAGAAGATAAAGGCACACTCCTAGAATGCAAAGAACCGTATCTGCCCCACAGAGTTCTCTGGTGAGGTGGCACAGGGAGACAGGTCAAGGTGCCAAAAAGGGATGGACAAAGACGAGGCTATGCTGTTCCTTCTTTACTGTTCTTTCTCTCCCTCCACCCGCTGGTAGTACTGGATGGATCTCAGGGCCTCATGCATGCTAAGTAAGTGCTCTACCACTGAGCTACACCCCAGCCCTTCCTCTTGTAAAATTCAGGTATGACTTATAGGGAGCAAAGAACACAAACACCAAGCAAGCAGCTCAGTAAGCTTTTCCATATGCGCACACCTGACTGGCTGAACTTCCAGGTTTCTGGCCTTCCTGAGGCTTCCTCACGTTCTCTTCTGGTCAATGCCCTCCTTGCTGCCCAACAAAAGTAACCATTCTTTAGCCCTCAATCGCTGATTACTTTAACCACTTATCACTCCATTCTGAATGTTTTTGTAAATGTCTTTGCGGGTCATCACCTCTCATTTCTTGAGGGAACTTCTGGATAGCGGGCAGACACATGCCAGCCATAGCAGAGATCGCCAAATAGTATTCCAGTGCAGCTGTGCCAGTTGCCATTCCTCCTACCACACGCCAAAGTGCTGGCTGCTTTATATCTGCACCAACACTGGGTACCATTAGTATTTAAACAATTTTAGCCATTCTGATATTGTGAGGTTAATTTACACCGGCCTGATGAGTAATTTGTCTACTAGCTTTTTGCTTTTTTTTGAGACAGGGTCTTGCTATATTGTCCAGGATTTCCTTGAACTCACTAAGTATAGATCGGCTTGGCTTGAACTTGTGGCTCCTGCCTCAGCTTCCCGAGTGCTGGGATCGGTGCATGGCACCACCTCAGCTTGCATATCCTTTTAATTTTTTTGTGGTGTGGGGACAGAATATATTTTTTGTTTCTCCATGTCTATTCAAGGTCCTTTGTCACTTTTCTGTTGGTTGATTATTTTTTTCTAATTGATTTGTCAGAAATGTTTAATAACATATCCTTAGTGTATGAATATTTTGTTAGTTATGTGTGTTTCAGATACAGCCTCTTTCTCTGGCTTACCTTCTAATTCTCTTAGTGCTCTTTTGATAAAAATAAGTCCTTAGTTTTAAGTATTACAAAAAAATTTTTTTTAAGTACTCCAAATAACCAATCTTTTTCCATTTACTCTCCTGTTTAAGAATTTTATTTTGTTATCATTCAGAAATTTACTGTCTTACCTTTAGTTTCATAATCCACCCACTGATTTTTTAAAAACTTGAGATACAATGAAATTTACCCTTTCAATACGTGTGATTCAGTGTTTTCAAAAATTTATTCATAAAGTTATACAACCATCACTACTACCTAGTTCTAGAACACTTCACTACCCCATGAAGAAATCCTGTACCCACCAGGAGTCACTCCCTTAGCCTTTCCCAGTCATTTATCTACTTTCTGTTTTATGGATCTGCCTACTTGGACATTTCATATAAATGAAGCATTTGTGCCTGGCCTCTTTCATTTAATGTAATGTTTTCATTTATGTTGTAGTATATATGAGTTCTTCCTTCCTTGTCCCTTCCCTCCCTCCCTCTCCCCCTTCTCCCTTCCTTTTTCCTTGTTGTGCTGGGGATTGAACCCAGGGCCTTTGCACTGAACTACATTTTTTTTTTTTTTTGAGATAGGGACCTACTAAGTCACTATATTACCCAGGGTTGGCTGGAACTTGTGATCTTCCTGCCCCAGCCTCCTGAATACTGTAGCTGGGATTATAGGC